GTGCAAGTTTGGGAGAAAGAAGGGAATTAGCCAGTGTAGAGTAAGGTAACTGCTATGTCTTCTTCCCAAGACACAGACTTGAATTGCCCTCCTCCAGCCTTTCCCTGCGCTCACATCTTCACTCTTGCTACTCATACCTTCCTCTACAGTGAAAAGCAAACGACTTATGTTGACTGCACAGAAATTGTGTATACAAAGTGCCCATTCACTGCCAAATCCACACCAGTCTTCCAACACTGTGGTACTGCTAACTCCATTTAACACCCAGGGACTGGGCTAGCGTAGAAGTCCTAAAACCCAGACCCGCGGGCCGTTCATGGTCCCCCACACAGTTGCTGGGGATCTGTGGAAAGCTAGCTCTTCACATGGCGCTGGCTCTTCTTGCTTCCAGCTGCCAGATCACATTCAAAGATAGCTAAAAATACATTAAATACTTTCCCATAGATGCAATTGCTGCAGTTTCCACACGGATACTACGTGATTACGGGAGATGGTCTGTACGACCAGGAATTAGAAGGGAGGGGTTCCGGGACAAAATCTCTTTATTTAGATACGAGTTACACTATGAAGGAGTTGAAGAATCCTCGGTTTAGCGCTTATCTTGTTTCTCATAAATACACATTCTCTCACGTTGACATAGATGTCTATTTGAGGGCAACAAAATAAGCTCAATAGGAGGTTAGGGGATTTTTTGGCGTGACACATTTTACAATATCCCAGCACCCAATAAAAACCTGCCGGGGTGAACTCTCCTACCATGGCATGGCACCTGTTCGTGACGGCGCAGTTGATCAGATCAGCTGCAGGCTTCTGTTGTTCAGTTCAGCCAGCAAGCTATTCATATCCCCACCAGCTGTTTCTGCTTTTTAGAACTAATGAAAAACTTTGAGGCAGACTCTGCAGTTCTCCTTCACGGGAAAAGTCATCATTTCAAAGACCCCAGAGCTATTTAATCTGTCTTACAGACTGTGGGTTTTGTTTTTTATTTCCCTCACAGTGTCTCTACAGCCAAAACAAGACTACAAAGGTCATCTTGTGTGCTATCAAATATGTAAAAGTACAGAACTGTACCTTTCTGGAAACAGCTTCATCATCTACAGATCTCCACAGCACTTCTTCTCTGATGTTATTTCTGGCACAGTAATACTTCAATTTATAGTATTGTGCTATTACTATATATTAAATATAGCACCATTGTATACTGCACAGCCCAGGTCCAGAGTATCAAGAAAATAAGAAGAGCTCTACGTCTGCTGTGGACTATCCTATTTTCCACCCCGCTTCTGCCAGACACATCTGCTTCACTAAAATGTCAATATGCTTCATTAAACAGTCAATCTTTTTAGAGTAGCACTCGCCTTTGAAAGCTCTGATCCCATCAAGCAGAGAAACAGACACCAAGGCTAACTCCATGCCTCTTTTAAACTTCTCTCTTCTTTTTTGCTGGGCGACTGTCTCGTTTACCTCCACAATTAGACACTCACCTTTTGCCAGAAGTCGTTCAGTAGCTGGTTAAGCTGCTCCACCAACTCATCTATCAGCTGAGTTCGGGCACAATCCACCTGGCTGTAGATGGCAACTTCTTCACTGCAGAGGATGTAATAAGTCCTGGAGGAGGCCTCAAGGACCGACATATCAGAGTGTTTGGTCACAATGTCTTTTACCTCTCTTAGCAGAGCATCCAAATGCTGCAAGTAATAAAAGGGGTATGACAGTTAAACCATAGTTAAGTCCACTTACGTTTCAGATACATTTCACCTGGCCAATATATCACTTTAGGTTATATAATCAACAGGAAATAAATGCCAGTCTGAGGAAAGGCGGAGCTATGGGATACAGCTTTCTTCTACATTTATGGCTCTTTTTAATTATTTTATCTCTGGATCTCCCTTAAAACTAATTGTTTTAAGCTCTGCTTTAGCAATACCCCTTTGGCACTACATAAAAATAATTACAATGTTAGCAAAGGAGGAGTGTCTTTTCCTCCCAACAGTGGAAGTTGTCTTCCTCAGCAGCTGAGGCCGAAGCAGGTTGCAGATCACCCCAGCAACTGGGGTCTTCACTCTTAATGAAAGAACATAATTTGCCATTTGTTTCTTCCTGTTAACTATCTGTCCTGAAAGTAAAACCTAGACGTGTTTGCACAACATCATCTCCCTGTAAACACCCCTGATTAAGAGCACATTAAGCTATTCCAAGGATTTCATCTATCCATTTCTGACCACCCCTCTCCCATCAGCAGATATATTATCCCCATTCTTATCTTTCAGTTACTACCATCCTGCAGCAGCTGGGAGACAGTCTTCAAGGAGAATGAAAACCCATTTTGTAGTAACTCCTGGAGATGCCAACTCGGACACATGGCATAACCCACCCTCTCCCACCCAACCATGAAGAACCCAGTCTGTTCCCAAGGGCAGCCCTATCATATGAAACCATAAATCATAACCCACCAGGGCAGCAGGCCAGTCACAGCATAGCAGAACTGACAAGCACTAAAGCTGTTCTTGGCAGTCTCCAAGGCAAAAAAAAAAGCCTGAATGAGATCACTTTACTTAAGGTATGAGAATATTTCTCTGTATCTCAACAGTCCCTTACTTGTTCCAAGTCACACTAAACCCTGTACGTGTCACATAAATTTGGTACATTCCACATGCACCCGACTACCCCAATTCCTATTCACCTTCTCTAGATGTCCTGTTCTGTAAACATCTAAATCATAATACTGAGGAATCTGCAGGAGATTTGTCACTTTTTCTGCATCTGCTGAATACTGCAGAGGAAAAAAAAAAAAAAAAACAGGATATGAGCACATTGCAGGAATTTTAATGAAATATTTAACATGCATTCACAGAGCAGCTGCTAGTTACCTTTGCCAAGAGCTGAGGAAGCACCATAGTAAAGTGTTCAGTAATTTTGGTACAATCTTCCAATTGTATCTTCTTCTCTTTTGCTGACAGAATCTGCAGACAAAGCATTTTGTTTCAATTATAAAATCTTTTAGATCTGAGTGAAAATTTACATTTAACCCAAGCTTAACTCAGACGCCTCTATCTAAAATAATTCAAGACAAAGCAAAGATACTTTACCAAGGAGTCACCCAGATGGTTTTAGTCTTGGCTACAGCTAATTAAGTTAGATGTAAATCACTGAACAACTATGTCTCATGGAAAAATTGCTCGCCATTTTATCAATAACATGCTTCCACTAGCTTTCCTTTAATGATCATACCCTTCAACATCCACCTCTAATAAGACCTAGGGGTCAAAAAGAGTGTGTCATTTCATAAAAAGTAAGCTATTTTATTCCTGAAGATGTACCGACCCCGAGGAACATGCTGTTTGGTAAAACACAGGGACAATATGATTACAGCACAATAAATGAGAATAAGTTGCACTAACTTTTTTGGTTGCCCCTCTGCCCACTGGAGGATGGCCTTCCGCCGCTTCTCTAACGGTGGCGAGGATAATTTCAATGAGAGCACTTTCGTGGGCATCACTCAGTCCTGTAAGTAAAGCAGCCTCCTTTCAGCATCGCACAAAGGAAAAATCAAGACGCAGGAACTGATAATGAAAAACCTATCGTTTATCTGAGCAACTGTGAAAGGACACTACATGAAGAAAGACACAATGTTGCCAAAGAAATACCTAGCGAGTGTTAGATTTACTTTGAAGAAAAAAAAGGTTTACATTAACTGTACACAAAAGCAATTATTCCTCTCATGGCCAACTTTTTTAGGGCACTTAGGCTTCCAAAGACACAGGCAGCTTCAACCAGCCTACCCTTATTGAATACTGTCTGACTTACGGCACACCTGCCTTTTTGATTTACAAAATGCTTTAACTCTCTCAGTCCATAAGCTTTGATTTCAGTTATGCAACCACCTCCACAACTACTATATAAATTCACTTTAAAATATTTTTACATAAAACTAATCTCGAGCGTTTAGTTGACAACGAACTCAACACAGTAGCTTTTTTTCTTTTCATGAACACTTAGATCAATCAGTACTTTTAGATCTTAAGTTTTAGACAGACAAGTCAAGTCAGAGTTACTTAAGTATTATGGCTTAATTACACAAAGTTTCTATATGAAGATTATATAAATACAGAAAAATAACAACATGTCTGTTGCTACAAGTATCCCAGTGACCCTTGAGGACCACAATCTGAGTTCCAAGAGCAGTGCATGGTAGAATGATCCTAAACTCTCTGAAGGCAAATTTTCAAAAAACAAGAGACTCTACAGACAAATCTAAGCTCTGTGCTGACCCACCTTCTCCATCTTCTTCAGCATTTTTTAACAGAAGAGTGGTCATGCACTCCCAGTCCTTCAGGAAGTTGCCTGCCCAGTCCCACAAGCTGTCTACGAGGTATGTGACATGTTGGTGTAGCTAGGGAAAAAAAACTAAAGCTCAGAAAAGCAAACCTTTCATTAAAAAGAAATAGTTTCATATGTTCTTCTCACCTTTTCCATTTACAAAGCTTTCCATCCATACATACATACATATGCAGTTCTCCAACATACTTAGTTTGAGGCTAATCAATGTTAAACACTCT